ATGTTGGCACACATGTATGGGTGCGCGTGCTCGTGTGTATCTGTGGGTTTGTATGGATGTTGGCACACATGTGTGGAATCCTCCAAGCAGGCTAGGGATTCACCCACCTCCACCTCCCAAGCACCAGGATTATAAACATGTGTCACCCTGATTTTACGTATGGGTGAATTCTGGGCATTGACCTCGGGTCCTCAGGCTCACAGGGCAAATACCTTACTGACTGAGCCACCTCCCCAGCTCTGGGGTGTCTGGTCTTTGGGAATTCTAGGAAAGGACCCCACTGTCAGAAGTTCTCAGTGGGTAATACCGAGATGAATAAGCTGGGGCAGCCTTGGGAATGGTCCATCCCAAACCCCTAAGGCAGCCGAGCCTGCAATGCTGGGAGATAACCGTGGGCTTGTGAGCTCCTGCCCAGGCTCCTCCTGTACAACACAGACTTTCCAGTGAGAATGGTGTGGCTTGTTCCCTATGTGCTCACTATGTGCTCGCTATGTGCTCGCTATGTGCTCGCTATGTGCTCGCTATGTGCTCGCTACGTGCTGATTTTCATTCAGAGGACTTCAAGGCAGGCAGCTTACGGGAGTCAGAAAGAACCACCAAACAACCATAGTTCAACATGCCTATGGGGTCACCTCACATGTCTCCTCCATCCTCCAACCCCTCAAGCTTCCACCCAGCATGGGTCTATCCTTCCACCCTGGCTTGGCTGAGTGCCTCAGTTGCAGGGGCAAGCATGGAGCCTACCATGAGGTACTTACTTGCTGAAGTCAAAGAGGAGCTTCTCAAAGATGAGGATGGGTCCTGTGCTGCTGAGGATGATGAGAGGCTGCCCCGAGAAGAGACAGAACAAGCTGCCAGCCATGGCAGTGCCCAGGAAGCTCTCCATTACTCCCTGTTGTGTGAGAGAGCAGGAGGCTCATGGAGACAGAAGAGACTGTTGTGCAGCAGTTTCCTCTGAGATTGAAACCTTATATCTTGGAGAGAATCTCGTTAGGACACAGCATCTTTATGTGAGGAGAGGGGGTGAAACTTTCTATCCTGTGGGGATGCTCTTTAAGCTCAGGAAATGAACAACTCAACAGCTTCAGGAAGTCCCTGAAGCTGATCAGATACACTAGCCAGTCCCCCACCATGCATATAAACTGTAAGGCATGCGGAGAGATAGCCTCAAACTGAGCTGCCTGGAAGAGACTCAGAGCAATTGAAGCACCTGGAAAGGACAGTCTTCAGCCTGTTGAGCTGCCTGCAGGCTTTGCAGTGTGCTCCAAGTTCCCAGCCTCCAGGGGCACTGAGCGCACACAGTACACAGTCATACATGCAAGCAAAAACACCCATTTACATAATAAAATAAGTTTAAAAATAAAATTAAAATGTAGGGAGAAGGTCATAATTAGCCAACTTAACATGCTGGTTAAGTTCATTAAATTCCAGTGAGGAAAGTAGCAAACATCAATGTGGGTGATTTCCCTAAAAGTCCAGCCTATTTCCATCATCCATAAAATTGCTATTTTATTAGAAAGATAAACAGTTACATTAAGTGATGGCCAGACTCAGGGCTATAGATACAACCGTGGTGTTGGGATTACGAACAGAACTCCTTACTCTCACCAGCTGACTGTAGGTCTAGCTGACTTTATTTGTGCTTGTGCACACAGCTCACACTCACCTGATAATTGTCTGTGGCATCCCCCAGAAGCCCACCGAAGGTGATCGCATTCGTGATACAACCGAGGTAGATGAACAGGACAGCAGAGATGGTCTGGATGTGGAATCCATCATAGAAGTCACTTGGGAACCAGGGTAGCTTCCTCTTGATATCCAGACGTAGTCCTCCAAAGAACCTGCTTGAAACAAGCAGAAGATATCTTTCTTCCACAGACACCAGGAGGGGCAGGGATGCCTCCGGGGCTGGAAGGAGTCTGAGATGAGGACCAGAAGTAGATGGAGTTACACTGTTTCTACCAGAACATTGAGAACCAGGCATGATTCTTGTAGGCCTGAAAGTTTGCAGTCATCATCATCCACACTGGGGAGGGTAGACACAACTGTTTGAGAGAAGGAAGTTCTGATGTGAGTATTCCACTATGGGGGTCTTCCTCCTGCCCTTGCCCAACCCAAGCCATGTAACATGAAACGGTTAGTGCTGGCAACTTCACAGGATCTACAATCATTTGGGAGATGGGTCTCTGTGTATGTCTGTTGCGGATTACCCCGACTTTGTGGATTGATTGGGGAGACCCATCTTGACTGAGGGTGAGGCTCTGCTCCCTGCGCTGGGGATCTTGGACTGAAAACAATGAAATGAGAACGAGCCAGTACTTAATGTTCTGTGTCAGCTGGGGTTACAATGTGACCAGTTCCCTTCAGCTCAGCTCCTGTGGCTTTGACTTCCCCAGCCTGATGGGCTGAACCTAAACTTTGAACCTTTCTCCCTTCAGTTGCTTTTGTCAGAATATCTTATCACAGCAAGAAAGACTCAGCACATAGCTTCATTCCCAACCACTTTGTTTGCACAGAGCCTTGTACTTCTCTGGACTTCCCTAACCCCAGGTCAACCTGGGTGACTCCAGGAGCAGCCAGAGAACTCGGGCCAGGACAAATTTTTCTTGTTGCCCAGATGAGGGAAAAAATGGAGCTTTTAAATCACATTAAGATTTTAAGATTGTGCTTCTTTTAAAAAGATACAGTAAATCTCCAACCCTTGGTATTTGTGAATATGATTTTACTTAGAAAGTCTTTGGGCCAGGCGGTGGTGGCACATGCCTTTAATCCCAGCACTTGGGAGGCAGAGGCAGGCAGATTTCTGAGTTCGAGAGTTCGAGGCTAGCCTGGTCTACAGAGTGAGTTCCAGGACAGCCAGGGCTACACAGAGAAACCCTGTCTCGAAAAACCAAAAAGAAGTCTTTGGGTTGGGAATGAAAGCTCAGCTGGTAGAGTGTTTGCCTAGTATGCAGGAAACCCTGGTTTATAAGCCAGGCATGGTGGTGCCTGTGAATTCAGGAGGAGAGGATGGGACAGGAGTATCATCAGTTTAAAGTCATCCTTAGCAAGCTCGATGTCTGCCTGGATTATGTTCGACCACAAAGGGGTGGGGGGCAAGGATGTAATTAAGTTACAATAAAGTAGTTAAGAATGGCGTTGATCTAGCCCTTATAGAAATGGGACAATACTACCCAAAGATATCACACAGGGACAAGCCGTGTGACTTCATAGACAAAAACTGAGGTGATGCAAGAGGCAGATTAAGGAGTGCCATGAGACTCCTAGCTGTCATTCAAGGAGGCGAAGGAGGTTCCTAGAGGCTCTAAGGCTGTGGTGACAGTTGGCATCTTTATTTAATGAGCATGGTGGAGATAGGGCCTCACACTATATAACACAGGCTGGCCCAGAACTTGCAGCAATCTTCCTGCCTCAGTCTCCCCAGTGCTAGGAACGACAGGTAGGATCCACCATGGCCCTGCTCCCTGGTTGAATCTCCATTTCAACCTTCTGATCTCACACCCCTGTGAAAAGGGATTTCGGTAGTTTTACACTACCTTGCTTGTGGTACATTGTTTCTGCCGCTACAGGATACAATTACTGAAAAATGTCTAGAGAAACGATTTAGTTTTTTCCTCATGGGTGGGATCGTTCTGTTCATCTCACCCCATACAATTCTCTAAGATCCACAAGATTCACTGGAATGCAGAACGACTGCAGTGGTCAGACCTCGTCCCTAGGGGGCGCTGCACAGAGAAGCACGAGGATGGCTAACAAGACGGAAGAAGAGAGGGTTCAAGACAGCAGGCTCTGCTATGTGTGAAGCGGGCACCTTCCGGTCCAGATCAGCTCCTCCCCGATTTCGTGCATAGCTGGCATCTCAGCTTCATCGCCACTGCCCACTCCGCCGGCCCCACCGCCTCCAGCCCCTCCGCCACCGCCGCCTCCTCCAGCCGAAGCTCCGCCTCCGCCCACAGAGCCATTCATCTGCCCCAGCTCTGCCAGAGAGAACACAGATTTCCTGAAAGAGAAGGCAGATGGGGCAGAGCAAGGCTCTCAGTGCTGAGAAGGCCCAGTCCCTCAGGACTGTCCCAGTCCCCACAAAAAACAAACAAACAAACAAACAAACAAACAAAAAAACCCTGCTATCTTAAAAAGCAGGGGAAATGAAGATGGGGGTGGGGAGAGAGGTCAGCTGTTAAAGTATTTGCCACACAAACAAGAGGGCAAGAGTTGGGATTCCCAGAAGCCATATGATGATCAGGTGGGCAAGGCAGCCACTGGGAATTCCAACACAGGGAAACCCCAGAACAAGCTAGAACAAGACTAGCCAAATCTGTCTGTGGCGTTGGATTCATTGAGAGATTCTACCTCAATGAATAAGGTAGAGAGTAATGAAGAATTCCCTGGTATTACCTTCAGGCCTCTACATATGCACCCACACACATGCGAACATGAACACACACATGCATATACACAGACAGAAAACAATTCAGTAATACCCCTCCCCCTATGCACCTCCCCCCCACTCCGGACTTTAGAGCCGTTCCTAAGTGGCCATGTTGGGTTCTGATTTGCTACAAGGAGAAGAAAATGCTGACATGAAGTCCCCTCTGTGGCTCTTATCCCCAACACACACCTCTTGTCAGCTGAGGGAACTTTCTTGGGCGGCTCAATTCTGATGTTTGGATCCCATTCTCCAGGGGGAAGGACAATGACCTCATCTAGAAATTCATCAACTCCTGCGATCAGATCTTCCCGGCTCCGAGCTTTGTAAGCCACGTCGCTGAATAGCTGGTGAGGAATGCGGAAGGATAAGAAAGAGAAGAGAGGGCTAGCTCTCCTCTCCTAGGAGTGAGCACATCATAGCTTCTTTTAAAGGAACCAATTCTAGCCATTTCTCAGGATGCCAACTTGATTTCAGTGGGTGAATAAGGACAAAGGACAGTAGGGGAATAGGGAACAAGAGGAAGGAGGCAGTTCCAAGAGCAGGTAGTCATCTGAGATCTGAAACCCAAGCCTCTGTGCCATTAGAGACAAGCAAGCATAGGGAATAGCTTACCAACCTGGGACTCCTCTTGATTTGGGCTATGTACACTCACCTCTTCTAATAGTGTGTTTGGCAGCCTAGGACCTTTATACTATACTATGTACACATATGCCTTTCTGCACATGTACCTAGCAATTTATTAGCAACCTAGGGCCCCCACCTGCACTGAGCTGTATACACACTCCACTCTGAACAATGGAACTGTCTCCTCCCCTTAACAGCCATCAAACAGATAGATTCTATTCAGTGATGTTCTCCTTGTATCTGGGTAAGAAAGTAGGAAGGTGCTGAGCTGGGTTTGTGTAATAAGTCAAGCTGTGTCCTATGAGCGAACCTTTAGGGAGAGTCCTCTACTCACCATCTTATACCTATGCAAAATGAGGTGTGCTTATGATCAAGATCAGATGTGTTATATAATTTAGGGTGGCACTTAACCACCCAAACTAACACTTCTCCTTATCTTGAACCCCATAAAACAAACCCCAAACAATAATCGGGGTCCCTGAGTGCCCTCACTCATGTGGCCCACAGTTACCCTCAACTGTACATGACCTGTTTGTTCTGTCTCTTTGCTTTGAATCAAATCTTTGTGTGGCTTTATATCAAGTCTTTGAGCAAGAGCCAAGAAACCTGGACACGCTCGGCCTAGACACCGAGCCCAGCTAAGACCTCTGCAGGACATCTGTTGAGTTCCCCCACCTTCTTCATTTCTGTTTTCCACAGAGCAAGCACGAGAAAACCTCTACAGAGCCCAGTTTGAGTCTGATTTTCCAATCCGTTCATTACTTCCCATACTTTTGTCACGGAGAGAGTCAGGTTACAAAAAGACTTACAGATTTGGTGACATTGTACATGTGTTTAAAGACCTCCTGCCTCCCCAACACTCTGGGGACAGAACAGGACCTCTAGGCTCTTGTCCCAGGGTGTGTATGGTCTCTGGCTCAGGCACTGCTCTTTCCCTTGGGGGAGTTCTGACACTCAGCTTGCACTACTGCTCTTCCATTAGCTTCTGGAAGGCTAGCATCCCAAGACCATGCCAGTCTACCTGCCTCCTGCTCACCTTTAGTTTCTTATCTGCAGAGCCCGCCTTGGCTTCCCAGGCAGATAGCATATGGTTAATTTTATTTATTATTATTTCATTATTGCAGATCTGTCCCTCTCCCTGGATAGTGCTCCTAAATGAGAGGGTCTGGTTCTGTTCTCGGAATCTCATAATCCTGAGGTCCCTGGTGCACAGCTCGGCTCAAATATGCTTGTTACATAATTGGTGACGACAGGGAGTGGGGGAGGCTGTGCTCCATATTTTCACTTACATCATCCACCATGAGGGTTGCAATGGCTCGGCCAATTTCATTATAGGACTTTGCTCTCCCAGAAGGTCCTAGAAGTATGAAGAGAAATCTGCAAAGAAGATGGAAGGAGAAGAAGAAACAAAGTGGGAAAAATAGAAACAGGTGAGAAGAATTTTTGTGCCTTCAATGAATCCATTATTAACCTTTCAACCTTTCTCCTTTGAATCATTTAAAAATCATCGTTATCATTATTGTTTTCAATTATGTGTATGTCTGTATGGAGGTATGTGCATGTGAGTGCAGTGCCTGAGAAGGCCAGAAGAGGGCACTGGATCCCATCAACTGAAGTTGCAGGTGCTTACGAGCCACCCAAAGTGGATGCTGGAACTGAGCTTGGGTCCTCTGCAAGAGCAGGAAGTACCATTAACCACTGAGTCATCTTTCCACCTCCTATTATATTATTATTATTGTTATTATTATTATTAATTATTAACGTATTTATTATAATACTTATTATTTCTTTTTTGTTTGTTTCAAAGACAGTGTCCCATGTAACCCAAGCTCACACGCTTTAAGTTGTCAAGGATGATTCTGAACTCCTGATCCTCCTGCCTCTCCCTCCCAAGTGCTGGAATTACAGGCTAGCCACAATATCTGGCTTTCTTTTTTACATTTACTTAGTTAGTTATTTGTCGTGTGTATGTGCACACATGCCACGCCACACACACCACAGCAAACATGAAGGTTTGGAAGACAGTTATCAGGAGTCAGTTCTCTCCTTTTACCACGTGGGTTCCAAGGACTGAGCTCACATTGTTAGACTTGGTGACAAGTGCCCACTGAATCATCTCACCAGCCTCAGAATCTCCCTTTGACTACTTCAATTGTTAAAGAACTACTTCTGCTTCTGCCCTCACTGGGCTCTTCTAGGAGTATCCTTACATTTGCATTGCTGCTTGGACCATTCAACAACTTCCTTTCTGGCTACCGCCTCCCCCCAACCCCTCTCTTTTGTGAGGGTCTTACTGTTGCCCTGGCTGGCCTGGAACCCAAAGAGCTCCACCTACTGGGTGCTGGGAATAAAGGTGGGCACCACCATGCTGGACTCCATAATAATGTAAAAGAACATCCCTGCTTTCTGACTGCATGGGGAGTGGCTCCCTGAAGAAAGATGTGGTGATATTTTTCAGGGACTCACCTGGTGGGGACAGGCACCTCTGTCACCCCTCCCAGCATGGCAGACTGGACAAGACGAACAAATGCAATGAATGGCTGGTCCAGGAAGTCCACCTCGCCCACAAGCACGTTGGAAGCTTCCGAGTCCTTGGGGATCTTCTTCATGAATTTGTTTTTCCGCTGCTCCGGGAGGAAAATGACACACACCCAAGAAGACCTGGCATGCTCATAGTCTCACTTCAGAGAACAACGGAGGTCTAACTTTAAAATCTCCCCAGGGGTGGCCAAGTGTGGTGGCACACACCTTTAATCCTTGTGCTTGAGAAGCAGAGGCAGGAGGATCTCTTAAGTACAAGGCTAGCCTGGTCTACAGAGGCAGTCTCAGGACACCCAGGGCTACAGAGAAATCCTGTCTTGAAAAACTAAAACTGAATAAAAATAAAATCTAAAGTCTCCCCAGGGGCTGGGGAGGTGAGTAAGTGGTTGAAGAAACTCAAGGCCACCTGCCCCTACCTCCTCTCTGCGTTAATCCTTGGCATGGGTCCCACATTCCCTTGGCCCCCCCCCCAGCTAAACAGCACTTCCTCCCCCAGCCCCAGCCCCCGTACAGATGCCCATTCTAGTCTCTGTGTCTCAACATTAACCCCGCACTCCCTTCTGTGCTAAAGCAAATAACCAACACTCCCCCCTCGGGGCAGATGGCTCCTGCCTTTGAAGGAGGCAGAAATTAATGTCCTTGACATGATAAGGCCCCCACTCCTGAGCTATGGGAAAGAGACAATTAAAAGTTCCCAAACAGCTATGACAGACTTGTAAAAATACACTAGCCTAATGTATGATTATGATAATGAAAATGAAATAAGTCATTTCTTCCCAGGTCAAAAAGGTCCTTTCCCAGCTACATGGTTCCGCTTTGCTGTCTGAACAAACGTTATCAGACAGCATTCCTTTACCCTCTACCCAATCATGTAACACGAAGGCTCGGAACCTCAGCTTATACCTTCTCCCATATATACCCGAACCCCTAGCCGTGAATGTCACATTCCTAACCTGCAGAGTAGGAAAGGCCGTGATCCAGGTCTAGATTTATAAAGACTCTACGTTTACATCGGTGTCATGATTTCTGGGGGTCTCCTGGGTTCCCTCAAACTGGACATAACACGGTCAAGACCCTTTGCTGTTCTTATGGAGGAGTAGGGTTCAGCTCCCAGCACCCAGTCAGGCAGCTCACAACTGCCTTTAACTCCAGCTCCAGGGGATCTGATGCCCTCTTCTGATCTCTTCAAGCACACACACACACACACACACACACACACACACACACACAAACTTTCCACAGAAAATTTCAAGAGACTGAAATAAACAACCAAATACTCTCTCTAGGATATAGATGAGGAGATTCAATGTTTGGTAACCGGAGACCAATTACACCGTCATAGATGGTAGGATTCAGTCACTGAGTAGACCCTAAAACACTCCTCTGTTGTGTGAACCAAGCAGTCAGAGAAGAGCCCTGGGCTTGCTGAATCTAGTTCTCACCTACAGCCTCCATGTTGGAACAGACGTAGCCCTTAGCACTTAGTGGTAACCTGCCCAGCCCTCCCTCCAGGCCTTCTCCTTGGTGGTGGAGAGACGTCTGTTCATGGTCTGTGTGCCCTTTGCCCTGCATCCTTACTCACAGGAATCTCTGGGCCAGTCTCCAAGGGTGCCGGATGTTTCCAGGCTCCCCCCAAGGGGACCTCCTGGAAACTTATCATTCTTAGACTTTAAAACTGAGACAGTGAGTGGGGCCTCGCTCCAGTGCCACTGGCTACCAGCTGTCCAGGGTAAGGTCAAACAGATGGAGTGACCAACCTACCCGGTCTAGTGTACCAGACAAGTCCTCTGCTCAAACTAGTCCCTCCTCTATCTTTATGACTTCACCTCTCCAGAGTCTGATGATGAAAATGTCCTACGGAAGGTTACTTATACGTCCTTCTTAGTCTTGGGAGACTTCTGTTCCCTTGCAGGAGAGAGGGTTTCAAGGACTCTCTGGTTGTGAAACCAAAGGCTTCCTCCTCCTCCCTGCCTGCCTCTGCAGTCTAGGGCAGAGCTCTCCTACCTGGTCTGTGTTTGGGGTATGAGAGATGTCATTCATGCTTCTGCTCTGGGCCTGGCCTAGGAGAGAAAGAAAAGCAAGCCCATCAGGGGAAGCAGGTTCCTGCCAGCTCTTCGCTCTTGGCCCTGAACCTCTTATGGCCTCTATTGTTCTTGCTGTTCAGAACCACAGCAAGTGTCCCTTCCCTTGGTCCTGCAGCCCCTTCAGCCCGAATCCCCACTCTCCTTCCCCTCAGGGGCAGTGTGCTTGAACAAGAAGCTAACCTCTGGGTCCTGCTGCTTCCTAATCACTTCTCCAGCTATAGCATGCTCTCCTGCAGCCTTTGGCCCCACCTCCTCAGACCTCACCAAGATGCCTGCTCCAGACACAGTCCTGTGCCAGCTCCAATGGAAGAGACATAGCGATGTATTTTCAGATGAGGTACCAGGCATCACTAGACTGGAACTTGGTGAGAGAGACCAGTCTCACATCTAGCTTTGTGGACCCATGGAAGTCTTTACAGAGAAGGCTGAGTCCATGTGGACACAGGGACAGCACATGAACTGAACTGCCAGTCGCCCCTTCCTCCGGAAGCCGTTCTCATCTCCCATTAGCAGTGAAGTTCAGTGGGCATGCTCTGCCGTAGCCCTGCCTTATTTCTAGAACACTGCTCCTCTCCACTCACTTCCCAGGATCCTCTTCTCCTTGACTCTCCATGGGGTTTTGTTTTGCCATCAAAGCCTCTTCCACTCCGTCTCTGTCAATCACAGCCAAACCCATGGCTTCCACTGTGTGTGTGTGTGTGTGTGTGTGTGTGTGTGTGTGAGAGAGAGAGAGAGAGAGAGAGAGACAGAGAGACAGAGAGACAGAGAGACAGAGAGAGAGAGAGACAAAGACAGAGACAGAGACAGAGAGACAGACAGAGAGACAGAGGCAGGTACACAAACTGTTTCCCAAGCGCCATCTCTTTTCCGAGCTTCAGAACCTTGGGGCAGCCTCGTCTGATACCTCCAGGTCATTATCGGCCACAAATCAGACTACCCTACCCACTCCCCACAACTTATTCCACCCACTAAGCACTTCCTCTACCCCAGCTGCTGGCCACTTGACATCCTGGGATGCAGTCCTGACTCCTCCCTCCTCCTTGCCTTTCCCGTCCCACCAGCTGTTACATCCTATTTCCTTCTTTCCCCTCCACTCCTGAATGCCTGCCCAACCTCGTTGTTCTTTCTTCCTTTTTTAAAAAAAATATTTATTTATTTATTTATTCATTTATTTATATAAGTATACTACAGCTGGCTTTAGACACACACCAGAAGAGGGCATCGAGTCACATTGCAGATGGTTGTGAGCCACCATGTGGTTGCTGGGAATTGAACTCAGGACCTCTGGCAGAGCAATCAGTGCTCTTAACCTCTGAGCCATCTCTCCAGCCCCTCGTTATTCTTTCTCAGACAAAAATCTGATGGAGGCACACACCTGCTTTTGGATCTTCAGGGTTCCCCTTACCTTCAGAGTCATGTCTTTGGGTTCTTTTTGTTGTTGTTGTTGTTGTTGTTGTTTTGTTTTGTTTTGTTTTACTGGACACACCAGGCCATTTTTTGCCTGACCCTAAGCCATATGCTCTTGGTGAGCTGAATGAATATTGTTTCCTTTATCAACTGCTGTCTGTGTCCTGGGGTTTCCTCTTTTCTGAGGCTTCCTCATTGCCATCTGTGCACTGGGCCACCTCAGGGAGTCTGCATACCTAGGCTACATATGATCCAGTTCACACAGAGCAACAGTCACTTCTTCATGACTCTTGTCTGGGATACTACTGAGCATTGCTGGACAAGAGGGTTTCCATACACAGAACCAGCTGAACAACTTTCTGCCTACTGACCACCGCCCCCTGGTGGCCATATAAGAAATAAGGGCAATCGTACATTAGGGAGGGTGGGGGTGGGGATACAACAGTGAACCAGGCAGGTAACTGCTGTGAAGAGACACTGGTGGACTGCTTTCCCCCACTCCGCCCCCCTCGCCCAAATTCTCAATCCTCCTGCTTCCAACCTAAGACCACTAAGATTATAGATATGTGCTGCTGTGCCCACATCCCTGACTATTCACAGATGAGCTTGAAAAAGGCTGTGACCTTTGACCTCACAGTCCTCTAATCATTATTACTGATCATGCTCAAGTTTCTCCTCCGTGGTGATAAGTGGGTGTCTCGGGTGTTCTTGGGAAAGGGACTTAGGTGAATGTTTTAGTTGCTGTTTGGTTTGTTTGTTGTTACTTGTTTGTTTTGAGATAGTCTCACTCTGTTACCCAGAGTGGCTTGGAATTCACTGTGTAGCCCAGGCTGGCCTCGAACTTGTAGCAATCCTGCCTCAGCCACTGCACCCAGCAAGGTTTCTGTTTTAACTTGCTTGTGTTTTTTGTGGTGCTGCAAATCAAACAGGGCACTTTAAACATCCAAGCTCTCTACTGTTGAGCTACACCTCCATCCCCAGTGCCTTTAATGCCTTTACTAGGGAGGAAGGCTCTCACTGGAAAACAGGGCAAAATGATTAAGTCATCAAAGACAAGAGTTTCACCTGAAATCAATGCACCTAGGACATGAGACCAGCGCTGACGAAGCCAGGAGTTGGCTGCACTCTGTCTGGCAAGGAATACTGTAGTGGTAACTCAGGCCCAGCGGCAAGCCTAGGCATAAGGGGAAATCTGGTTTCTCTTGCTGGTGTCTTAAGCAAGCTAAATCCTCAGCTCTCCCCTCTCCATCTACGGACATGTGGACATTTCCCAGCTGTCACAGCCAGCGTGCTGCTGTCCCTGATCGGCAGAGAACACTCACACAGATGACCATAGCTGGTGCTTTGCCGAATCCTCAGGTCCTCGGTGGAGCGGTGCAGAGTTGGGCCCGCTGACGGGCTCCGGGCAGAGCTGCGATCTGGGAGGGGCAGGAAGACACGTAGCTCCAGCATCTTTGCAGCTGCAGGCTCTCTGGCTAGCACAGTCAATAGTCACTTCAACTAAACTTCAGTGCCTCTTCACTACAAGACACATCTCCCCTTCCAAGAATAATGTTTAAAGGAATATCGTGAATGAGATTACACACAGAGATGGCTGGGGCTTAAGACCATTGGTTGATCCTCCTGAGGACCCTGGGAAATATTTGTACAATTGAAGAGAAGATGCAACACAGAGTTGGCTAAATTGACACTGGGGACAGCACACGACCTACCTTCATCTCTGATTCTGCTACCTGTGGCTCATGTTTGTCTGCTGGGTTTGCCAGGCCTAGAGCCTTCAGAGGCCAAGAGTGAGTGAGTAGTTTTCTCTCCCCAAATGGCCCCAGGCTTTGCTAGCTAGAATGGTATACAAGCCCTGGCACACTTGAGGTGACTTCAACGCTCCCACCATCTTCACGCACCTCACCTTCTGCAGAGGTTTCTGGCTTCTCTTGGCTTAGTGAAAAACTCTTTCCTAAGCAAGCCATCCCTCTAGGCATTCCCTGGTGCTGTGTGCCTGGAGACTCTGGCCTGCCCCTCCTACCCAGGATACACTCCAGACCAACAGATCTCCCAGGCATTAGGACACATTTGAAGATCTCAAGCCATTGAGTGTGCAGTGCAGGCTGTGAGCCAGCCATTCCTAGGAACTACTGTGTTCTGGTGTCAGGAACAACATGGAGTATGGCTGAGGTCCCTCTTGGACTTCCAGAAGAGGAGATTGAACCATGGAAGTCCAGAACCTTGGACTTTCTTCAGGATCATGAAGTCAGATAGTTCCAGCCCCCAAACTGGGCTCACCTGGTCACATGCCCTGCGCCCACCAGCAAGCAGCCCTACTCACTCGTAGTGGAAACCGACTTCCCGATGTCTGCAAGGGAACGGTGGATGGGCTTCTTGGTTTGGTGACGATGCTTCCTCAGTAGCACGTAGCTGACCCTTTCCCGGAGCTCTGGTCGCAGAAGTCCATCTTCTATCTGCTTCTCAATGACATCATCTGGATGAGAAACAAACAAGTTGGGTCCACGTGGGAGAGAACGAGCCCAAGGCTTTGAGGTCTTGCTTCTTCCGGGGTATTAGTGGAATTGAGAATGAGCAAAGGGATCAGGGATTTGAAAACAGTCCTGTGGCTCTGCCAACCCCGATATCTTCATGTATAAGGTTATGGACGTGTCTCGGGTGTGTGCATGCGTGGACAGAAGTCTCTGCTCTTTCTATCCCTGTTGTGAACCATGCTTTAAGTAGGACCTATGAAAGTGCACCAGGAAGCAAATAGGTGCTGTGTTAAATGGTTTTCATCCCCCAAGTGAATTCTTTTTTAGAGAATTAATAGTTATAGCCAAACTAAATGTGCTAGGTAGAATAAAACTCAGAGGAATGTTTAGGAACAAGGAAACAAGCCACCTCCTTGTTTGATACTACATTAAGTGGGAGCTAGTTTTCAAAAAAAGAAAGGTAGTCCATTTTCCTCTGAAAAGAAACAAGTTGTCATGGCAATAGTCTCTCTGCCTGCTGCTTCGCTGAGCCACATTTCAGGGATGCTCTTTCTGCATGGAAACTAAAAGCAGTTGGGAAACTAACTGCCTAGACAGTGCCAGAGTCAAAATCCTGCAGAGTCAGGCAAGTGTTGAGATGGCCAGTCATACAGACTTGCAGGTGGACACAAGGTTGGGGAAATTGCTCTGATTTGCTGGGACCATAGCGGAGATGTCCTGGACTCACCTATGATCTGCGGTAGAGAGCCGCTGTCCAGATCCAGCAGCACCGTCCCTGTCTGCAGGCAGGTGCGGAGCTCAAAGAGGCTGTGAAGGGACAGCGTGGACACATGGGGCTTGCTCCAGCGTTCTCCTCCTTCCTCTACCTTTTCTTCAAATTTTATCCACCTGGAAGAAGTAAGAATGGGGCTTAGCACTGCCAGTGCTCTCAGGAGGAGGCCTATTCCAGGTCAACCAAGTGGTGTGATGTAGCAGTTTCGTCTAAGATTGAAACATTCTATCCTGTAGGAAGCTGCTTCAACCAGAAGGTCCAACAACTCAACATAGCTTTAAGAAGTCCCTGAAACTGACCAGACTCACTAGGCCCCTCCCTGCCAGAGTAAGCAATAGAGGTTATGAATCCCTCTCAGATGAGCAGAGTCGAGCTACAAAAAATACTTTCTGAGAAGCCAAGCTGCCTGAAAGAAGAAGGAAAAAAACCAGCTGAGTTGCCTGGAAGAGGTTTAGACCAACTGAATCACTTGAAAGACACACTCTCCAACTTGTTGAGCTGCCTGCAGGCTGTGTAGTATGCTTCAAGTTTCCATCTTTTATGAGCAATCACCCATGCTAAGGTGGGCTTTGGTGATACAGCTATCTCTGAGTCATTTCTGTTTCTGAAAGTAATTCTGTAAATATTCCTATAAATAACCCTAGCAAAATTCATGGTTCACCAAGTTATACTGTGGTGATATCTGTTCTTTGGTCTGTCATGAGTTCCCTACCTGGGGTAAGTAGGTGTGTGTGTGTGTGTGTGCGTGTGTGTCCGGGAAAAGTCTTATCATACAAGTAGATGCAGACCTGTGGGAACATACAGTTGGAGACATTGATTGGCCCTGAATTCCCAAGCAGAGGATCCCTTGGTGCTGTCTGTCTGTCCTAACACTAACTGATGCTGGCATGCTAAGGACAGAATGATCATAGGCAGACATGAAGTATCTTTTGACGTGATAAAAATTTTAACATTAAGATATGAGGTTGAACAGCTCTTCACATTGAATATCATTTACTACATAAATGAGACAGTGCTAGGTTATTTTATGACAATAATTTTTTTTAAGTCTCAACTGGATCCTGGTTACTGTTGGTTGGTTACTTTTAAGTGTTCCGAGTAGTTTGCTAGGAACAGGGGAAATGTCCCCAGACAAAAGTATCTCCCTCAGGGATGCTTTCTTATGCCAAGAAAGTGCTTGCTGTATAAACATAAGGACCTGAATTCAATCCCCAGTACCCCAGATAAATATCCAGGTGTGGGACTGTGTGCTTGTAATCCCAACACTGGGAGGATTACAGGAGGACCCCTAGGGCTCGCTGTCAGCCAGACTAGCTAAATTGTTGATGTTGATCCCCTGGTCAGTGAGAAACTCTGTCCCAAACCAAGGTGTAGAGCTCTTGAGAAGCAACACTTGGGGTTGACTTCTGGCCTCCGGATGCCTGTTCACACATACTCCCAACCTGTCCCCAAGATGTGTCCCTCAGGTTCTACTACACAGGGTCTGGGGGTCCCATGCTCTTCACTGCAGAGATTAACTGTGAGTTCACATTCAGATTAAAGTCCAGATGTCACCTGGAGAAGGAAGGAGCGAAAGCCAGCTGTGTGGAGGAATTTGCCCTTTCAGGAAATCTAGAATCACAGACAGGATGGAAGTGATGCAGTAGGGAGTCCTTTGACAGCGAGCAGAGGCATCACCCAACCAGGCCTCCCATTCAGAGGCAGCTCCAGACAGCTGGCAGAGTCCCCAGGGAAGCTAATTGTCCCAGCTGCAGACTTCAGTCCACCATAACGACAGGTTGCCTACAAACCACTGGGCAGCTTCTACCTGCACCAATTGGAACCTGAAGGAAATGGCTCTGGGTCCCTCTGAAAAACAAGTTTATGGAGTCTGTGGGGAATTTGTTCAGCAGGTGGGAGCGAGGCTACCAACCATGACAACCTGAGTTGCAATATTGTTTTTTTTTTTTCCTTCCACCATGTGGGTTCCAGGGATCAAATGTAGTCACTAGGCCTGGCAGCAAGTACCTTTACCTGCTGAGCCATCTCTCTAGCTCCGGCTAGTGCAAACTCACAACCCTCCTGCCTTCCCCTCCCAGATACTGGGATCATAGGAACACATCACCACATCCAGCTGAAGTCAGATTGCATGCACATGTGTGTAGATGTTGTGTGCACATGCGTGTGCACTGGTGCACATGAAAGCCAGAGGGTATTGCTGTTTTTAAAGATTTTTTACTTTATATATATATGTGTGTGTGTGTGTGCAGTATGTGTGTATGTGTGTGTGTGTCTGTGTGTGTGTATGTCAGTGCATTGTGTGTATGAAGTGTCCACAAAGACCAGTGGCGGGCATCAGATTCCCTGGAACCAGGATTACAGACGAATGTGAGTCACTATGGGAACCAGACTAGAAAGCAGCCCATGCTCTTAACCATTCTCTGGCCCCTCATCTTGTTTTGAGACAGACCTTGACCAAATTCAAAGAAAAGTAATGTACCATGAGATCTGATCACTAGCACCCACATAGCAGGCAGCTCACAACCACCCAAGGGCTTCTCTGCCCTCCCCCGAACTCAGTGGCGGCAAGCATAGACATGGTATACAATACATATAAAATAATAACAAAGAAATCTAAAAAATTTAAGATGTTCTTATCTTTTAGAGGCACTCATTTACATGTGTAATGGCATGGTAGTTGGAACTCGTGCTACCATGAGCTAGTATGTCAGGGCAGGCTGTGGGGGACCTTGATTGGCCGTGAGTTAACAGGTCAAGGTTGAGAGCTGGGTGATACACACTACTTTCATGAACTTTGAACTTTCTACAATCCAAATGCTTAAATATTTTCTAAATTGAATAAAGGCACAGGCTCTTTCTAGAGATTCTGGATGAAGCCAGGCTTCCCAGCCGTGTACGCCTGATGGAACGGTTCGTGTGATCCCGAATAATTCACTGCAAAGCAAGCTTTATACCACAGTTGGCTTTAAAGAGCACAAATTACAGTCAGAGAAGCAGGTCAAGCAGAAAGAAAATCTCTGAGTTGGAAAAAGACTTTTCGGTATTTCACCCAGTCCTGATCAGTGCTGTGGCCTTCACTTCCGTGCCTGCCAGAGGCAGGAGTCAGATATCCCCTTCTCTGAACAGAACCTTAAAGAGTCACATGTTCCAGAAAGCAGCTCTCTGTCACAAAGAGGAGAGGTGCAGACCCAAGGCCTTTTCTTCAACTGGTAACTCAGACAGGGTGGTCGCTGCTGATGGCTGATCCAGACATAATAAAAAAAAAAGTGTCCCAGGGCTAGCCACCAGGTAGAGTCCAGGGCTAGCCACCAGGTAGAG